TATTTGAAAAAGATTAATATTAGGAAATGTTATGGAAGTGTGTTTTTTCATGTAAAGATTTTTAGGTTGTTGAATTTAGGACATGGTAAGGCAGACTTTTTCTTGATCTTAGGCCTTAGCTCATGCTATCAGCTGAATTGACTTTTTTTTTTTCACCAACATCAAAAAGACAATTTTATAAAATTCAAACCATCAGATACAAAGAGTTCGAGCAACCAAATCAGTCTTAACCCATAATGACTAAGAAACATGATATGCGAGGAAAATACGCATCATGGAGGTAGCCCGTAGACTTATTTCTCAGTCGACTCAGAAAGACTCGAGAAATATACTCTTTAATAATACAAGAGCATCTATTGTTGCAATAAATTGGGCTAATTAATTATTCCTTCCAGGCATGCATGCGTGACTATCTAGCCTCCAAGTGAAATTGGGCTAACTAATTATTTATTTTTGCTCACCAAATCTCTTTTGCCTCATTTTTAATTGGTTCAGTGGGCCAACACTCAATTAATTGTGATGTTCCATCTATTGCGATTTCCAACAGCTTTGGGCTTAGGAATTATTTAAGCGAAAGAGTAAATATAATCTTGGACCCACTCATAACTATGGGCCTTGATTTGGACTGAACTCGAGCTGGTAACGGGCACCCTCGTACTGGACTCTCAATTTTTGTTCGGTGTCAGGCCCCGCCAATTAAAATCCTCCAATATCTTGAAGAGAAAATTACTCCGTCCACCAACAATATTACTTTTATTTGCACATATACTAACATTATTTTTTATTTATAATCATACCTATAACCTAATTTTTATTTGTACTTATCCAATTCCCTAATTAAATACTACTCGAACTATGAATGAAAAAAAAAAAAGTTGCCTGCCTTCTCCCTTGAGAATATCCAGAACTTCTCCATCTTCGACTAATTCCTCTCTGCCTCCACTCGTCTAATTCTTCTCCGCCCCACCATCTCACACCAGCAATGGCGAAATTGAGCGAAGGCGACAAACGGTGGATCGTGGAAGACCGCATCGATGGGAACTCAGTGGTTCTGTCACCGACGGAACCGATTGCCTCGAGTGGCCAAGGATTCCGATGGAAACTAAGTGGTTATGTCCACTGACGGCTCCGTTTAGGTGTCCTATATTTCCGACGAGAACGCAGGTGAAGATCCCGAAATTCGAATCACAATCAAAGATGACGGGCTGATCGATAAGAGATTTAAGGAAACGTTTATCTCTAAGGGGTTTGTCTTTGAAAAACTCAAGTAGTACGTCGAGGCAATGGCGAGAGGTGAGCCGACCAAAGAGGATTTGGATGTAAAGGTCGCCACAACAAATAAACCAGTGCCTGGATCTGGTGCGACAAGGTTGGTTTATCTCCTGTGTATATCTTATGTATATGTTCTGTATATAATGACAAACTTGGTTTATCTTCTGTGTATATCTTCTGTATATGTTTGGTATATTTTCGGTATATAATGACTAGATTAGTTTATCTTATATATCTTCTGTGTATATTTTCTGTATATCTTCTGCATATTTAAATTGATTGGATCGAATCCAAGACCCGGATTAAGACCCGAAACTGCGGCCATGACCATCGAGGTCCGTCGGATCTTGATGAGCAGTATCCTATTCAGCGACTTCCAGCCCTTGCTCTCAGCTCGAATCTCATCGATTGTAGCCGGGCGCGGCTCAGATCGACAGCGAGCCCGTCGAGGGGCCGAAAGCGTAGCCCAAAGCTCATCGATGAAACTGATGTTTATCAGTTTTTTTTTTCTCGGTTATGGAGAGAAGCATAACGCATGTTTTTCTTTTTTTATTAATGAAGGAACCCGAATTCCGTTAGTTACGGGAGTATTGATAAGGTAAGTNTTGTTTGATGCCCCGTATTTAATTACCTATTAATAATCTAAACTAAATATATAGCTTTACTCGTGTGCATGTGCAATAAAGCTTTTGCATCTAGTATTCTTGCAATATTTTAACAACGATCCCAGTACGAATGTAAATTACCCTATCCTGAAAATAAATCATAATATATCATTGTACTTAAAATAAATAAGTCGAAAAATATATAAATGCTATAAAATTAAACATATAAAAATACACTAATAAATATATAAATTACACACTTTTTCCGACCAATCAACGATCTCCTTACAATTTGTTTTGACATTGGCCGATCTATTTTTTCCTTGACATGCGATCTAAATCCGTGTTAATATATTATTTATTTTCAACGTCAACAAATCGTCGCTAGAAAGAGAGTCCATCTTGAATATGGTAAACCTCGTCTTGGGAAAACATATCGCAATCCGTGCAAAAATCAATAATCTAGTCACTATGTTCTCGTCGAATAATTCCAGTAATAACCATAGTAACCGTGAGCATCACACCCCTCCATCCATTGGTATTAGGCAAAACTTTACTAATCCTGTTTTTGATAAAGGAATCAGTGTTTTGTTCGCCCAAATATTAAATAATGCACCTCCAAATCCAAATCCTCCCAAATCCACAAATCTCCCTGAACCCTGTTCCCCAACCCTCAGCCTCACAAGAGACGGACTCACGCATTCCCCATGACACCACTAACAAGGGGATAAGGAAAGCTATTGTGTCCCACAAGCCACATTAAGGCATGGGAGAAAGCCAGACTCGATCTGATGCTGAGTTCAGATCAAACAGTTTCTCAATGTTTGAACGGCTTGGTGAATTTCACCTCAAAACTTAAGATTTCATACTATTCCTCCATTCTGGAGAATTTAAAGTCTCAAAATGCCATTTGAAATTTCAAACGATACACCCCCATGAAAATTTGTTGTACATCTTTAATCATAGTAGTTTGAATATCACATCATTAATTTAAATATTTACCCAAATTTTCATCTTACATTGTACATTGTAATGATAAATGTTGTAGTGAGTAGGGATGTGCATAATTCGACTAAAACTGAAAAAACGGATCGAATCGAAAATTTTGATTCGGTTTTTATCCGACTCCGTCGGGTTTTGGTTTTCAGTTTATAGTTTTCAGTTATTTCGGTCGGTTACGGTTTTCGGACATCGAATGTCCGAAATAATCGAACCGATCGAATAATATAAATATATATGTGTATATATATATATTAGATTATATACATTATAATATATATATATATTATTTATATATATACATATATATATATATATATTTTAAACGTACAGTTCGGTCGGTTTGACCAAACTGACGGAAACCGACCTAGAAGTTTGGTCGGTTAATGTTTGGTTTAAATTGGTAATTCGGTCGATTTCAGTTATTGATATAGTATAGTTCCTTTATTTTGGTTTTCTTAATTTGGTTCGGTTGGTCGACAAAACCGACCAATGCACACCCCTAGTAATGAGTATGCATAATTAGTGTTCACATTCTCTTCCACATTTTAACTAGTCTCAGATACAATATTTCACTAATATTATGCAATTCATTTTATTCTATTATTTTTTATTCTAGTTTATATTTATTTATTGTTGGCTAAATGGACAATATTATAGTCATGTTTTTATTAGCTGATAGTGAATAGCATATAGCTGATTATATTAACGCATAACTGACAGTGGAGTGTAATATTTTATTTGACAATCGATTGTATTGGTGGATACTGTATTGTAATTATGCTTGGTGAAAAGTGACTTGTATAGTTGTTTTGGAAATCTCATGTTGTTATGCTATTTTATGAATCATCTCCATACAAAAAACACTCTTCTATTGAATTTTTTCATAATTAGTATTTTTGGTTTAAAGAGTTAATTAAATAAGATTTACTAAATGAGCTAGTTATCGAATTTGATTGATCAAACTTTAAAATGATGTTCACTCTGCTAACATCCAAATAAGTCTTATATTTGTGCATTGGGGAAAATTTTTTAGTTTTATAATTATAAAGTTTACATTCATTCTAGATAGTTCACAATCTATTGAATTAATTGGTATTGGATAAAATATTTAATCATTATATGTCTAATTTGTCAAAGTTTCGCATTGCAAAATTGTTATGTTTAGAATAAAATTTCAAAATACTATAGTGCTAGTGCATCTTATATGATTAGCGTGCATATTAAAAACGAAAAATTAAACAACTTTGACTTTATAGTAACTTGGTCCTTACATTGAAAAATCAAACAAGCTTGACTTCATATAATTCTTTCCATGTAGATGTATTCATGAGAATTGACTCATTTATTTCAATGGACCATATCAAACGAGTTTTTATTTGGTTATCTTGAATTACGAGTCATGATTCAATTTTATAGATCTCTTATGCTCATATTGACTTTGGTGCCCAAATTGGTGGGATGTCATTCTCTCTCTCACAACTTTTTAATATTTCATTTTTTAAAATTTGTTCTTTCCTAATTGTTATTTCAGATACCAGCGCTGAGACTTAGAAAGTTAAAAAGAGGTGGGGCAAGATTTTGTGTTTCTTGCATCATCCTTTTTATTTAAATTTGAGAAAAATCATTATTCATTTTTCTAAACATGTATTTACAAAATTCTACTAATTTATTATTACTACCGACATAAAAGACAAAAGCAGTGTTTTGAGATCTGGACCGGCCCGGCGGGTCGACCCGGAGTCGGAACCGGTCCGGGTAGAGTATTTGGACCGGGCAACTAAGGACCCGGTCAAACCCGGTCAAAACCCGGCCGACCAGGCAGAGACCCGGCTGACCCGGGGCATTGACCCGGCTGACCCGGTTGACCCGGTCCATATATATTTTTTATTTTTTTTTTAATTTTTTTGTTTTTTTTAAAAATAAAAATATGTATATATGTTTATATGGTAAATATTTATCATGAGATACATATTATTAACACTTTAATATACAAATTTTATACACAAAACATTTAATTTTGTTACTTTTATGTATATTTATATAACAAAAATATTTTATATATAATTTTAAAAATTTTAAAATTAATTATCCGGTTCAACAATTGACCCAGTGACCCAACGGTTGAACTGGTGACCCATACATGACTGAATTCTTGACACCACATGTTTTTTTTATTTACCTTCGATAATTTTCACACCCTTACAAAACGAGGTATAATAAATTGTTAATGATCTACTTTTAGCTTCCGCATCTGACACTTGAGCATTCCTCCATGCCCATTTCCTTGCAGCAACTGGCATTTTTTGTCTGCATATGATTATTCAACTGTGTTTAAAATCTAAGTTCTATGATTATACTGTAAAGGTGCTTTTTTTCTCTCTCCTTTTTTCTTCTTCTAAATAAATCTAAAGAAGAAAAACATTAGGGGTGATAAGAAGGAGAAAAGGAACACCTTTTTGTATATCTTGACACCCCCTTAAAGATTACTCTTTTGATCATGTGAAAAAGGTGTGATATTTACTTGCTTTCTCTCTCTTGCTTGCTGTTGTTTACTTCTCTCTACATAAAACAACAGTGGAGACTGATTTACTGGAAAATATGCTAGTGTAAGCTGGTTAATCTGCTGCAGTTGGGATTTTTTCATTTGGGTCTTGCTGATAAATTCTGCAAAGAAGAAGAGAAAAGAAAAATGGCGGTGGTTCCACAAGAAGCCATCAGTCAATTTGAAGCGCTAATGGAGGAAGGTTAGCTAAGCTGCCATCTTTTTTCCTTGTTCTGCTTGCTCGTATTTATTTTGTGGGCCCATCTGTTCTGATTGACCAAATTATTGTGCAATTTTGTTGCAGTTGATGAGCCACTTAAGAGAACTTTCCAGGTTTGTTTAGTTATTTTGTTCTGTTTCTTATTGCTGGATCTAATTGTTCTCCTGCTTGATCTGTTTATGAACTCTTATGTCCCATATATTTCTTGTCCAGTAATTATATGACAATTAGTTATTTTAGTTTCACCTGCTACTTTGGTTAAAAAGTTTGATGAGAAATCAAGAATATTTTTGTGGTTGCTAAATTAGGGGATCAATTTGTTATTCATATGATAAATATGTTATACTGTGATCTGACTTCTGACCACCTTTTAAATAAACCTCTGCAATATCTCAAAGTATTGACTTTCTTGTGGGTAGAGCTATTTTTAATTCCAAACAATGTACTGATTTGTCTTTTACCTTATTGTTTCAAACAATGTTACAGAATGTCCATCAAGGTTATCCTCATGAAACTTTGATACGGTTCTTGAAGGCAAGGGAAGGAAATGTCACCAAGGCCCACAAGATGGTGATTCAACTTCTTTTCCTATATCATTATCCTTTTTAGTATGCAAAAACCGAATATCAGCTGAATTCTAATGGTAATGTGATCTTGCAGTTAGTTGATTGTTTGAACTGGAGGGTGGAAAACGACATTGATAGTATGTTAGCAGTAAGTAGTAAAATGCTGATGCTTATACAATTAGATCTATATAAATATAATTGCCAAGTGGGAAAAAGAAAAATGTTGAGTATTTTTTAGTAACAAGCTTACATACACTATGTTTGTGGTGGCGCATTCTGAATTTAGTATTACTTTTTTTTTTGGGACAGAAACCCATTGTTCCTGAAGATCTTTACAGAGGAATACGTGACTCACAGCTTATAGGGCTGTCCGGTTACACAAATGAGGTAAGGATTAACGAAGCAGGAACAAATTCGATCTTTTTTACTAGGTATTCGATTTTTTCTCTGATATGATATTCATTGTTACTTACGAATGACACCACTTTTGCAATAGGGCTTCCCTGTATTTGCTGTTGGAGTGGGCTCGAGCTCATTTGACCGGGCATCCGTAAGTAATGTTCATTATGTAGTTCAATATATTGTATTTCATCTTGAGTTCTGACTCAAGTTATGGCTGTCATATGTGCATCGTGCCATAGAAGACATTTTAATACCAAAAGCATAAATAAGTTAAAGTAACTTGGTACTTTTTTGGATGTTTAGTCTACTAAATTTTGCTATTTTATTCCATGGAAGTATTGATGGTTCTATTTACTATCTCAGCTACAAGTTGGAAAATTATCTACAGATGTCATCTCAATAGTTAACACTTAAATTTTGTCTGCTAAAAGATTGCAGCTCCTTTTTGGAAGGAAAAAAAAGCTGGTTTTCAGGCAGTATCCTGAAGAAATTGTCAAACAGTGAAATTTATTGGACTTGTTACATGAATCAACTTATATACTGCATGAGGGTAAAATTGGAAATTTTAAAGACCTGCAAACTTAGTGCAATTGAGGTTTTGGAATGAGGAGTTCAGTATCTATTGCATACAACATGCCATTGACATCAGCTAACCAAAAGTTACCGATTTGATAATTTACCAAGGCTGTTTACTACACCACTATATATTTTTTTCCGGCTGTATAACTATAATTGATTTCACTGTTCAAAATTATTCTTCTCATGTGGTTGAAGTTTCTATATTTATCGGCAATAACCAGTTTAAAATGACAGATTGTATCATTTCTATGCTAAATTGAGTTTATATCTTTTTGTCTATTTCCTATCGCAAGGACAATGTGTTTTCAGAAGCCGTTTTCCTAAGTCGTCTTAACAAATCTTGCTATTACATTTATTTTCCGATTTAGGTTCACTATTATGTACAGTCCCACATCCAGATCAATGAATATAGAGATCGTGTGATCCTGGTAAGCATGAGCAGCCTTTTTTCTGTCTACTCCTTTTATTTACTTCTCGGGTTAATTTGCAACGATTATATCAGCCAGCTGCAACAAAAAAGTATGGGAAACCTGTTACCAAATGCATAAAGATTCTTGATATGACAGGATTGAAGCTCTCAGCACTAAGCCAGATAAAGGTGCGTTAGTAGTGAGCGAATTAGTTCATTTACTCATTAGGTTATCTTTCCAAGGGTTGTATATAAAATCTACTACGGCTCTTTCTTATATCAAATATTATTAATTATTGTTGCGGTTTTCTTCCGATGCAGCTAATGACTATCATTTCTTCTATTGATGATCTAAATTATCCGGAGAAAGCAGTAACTTATTACATTGTGAATGCCCCATATGTCTTTTCGGCTTGTTGGAAGGTTTGTCCCACGTTTTTGCCCATTAAGTGTGATTTTTATTAATCCCTTTTCTTTTCTTTGGTTTTCCCCCACTCAAAGCTCAAAGCTCGGAATGTCATTGCTAAGGATATATATTTTCATGAAATTAATAATCCTCATGAGAGACGTGTTTATAATCTTTCAGCTGTTCTCAGGTTGTTAAGCCACTTCTGCAAGAGAGGACTAAAAGGAAAATTAATGTGTTGTCTGGTTGTGGGCAGGATGAACTATTAAAGGTACTTTCCTCTATCCTACTTTACATTTAACAAATAGATTCTCCTCAAAACTTCGAATTCGTGTTTCCATGGTTCAAAAATTCACGAGTCTCAAAAAGTTACTTTCAGTTTTAAAGTATTCAAGTGCCATCTATTTTGATTCAGATTTGACATAATTTAGTTCAAAATCTGCAAGTGCTTCAAATTCATTTATCTTAATTTTGTTTGACTTTTACCTGAATAAAACAAACAATTCAGCAACTTATTTACCAAGAACTCGAGCACTTAAAATTTCTGTAAGTTTTAGTTTTCTTTGCATACTCTACCTACATCTTATTGTCTGAATGCTTTTAATTCCAGATAATGGACCATGCCTCACTTCCCCATTTTTGCCGTAAGAGGTCATCCGGCTCTTCCAAACATTCAGACAGTCGAGGAGACAATTGCTTTTCCTTGGACCATCCTTTTCATCAGCAACTTTATAACTACATTAAGCAGCAATCCTCGGCTCGTGAACATGTCCAGCCATTAAAACATGGGTCTGTGCACGTGACTTTACCCGAAGACTCCAATGAAGATGATATTGCCAGGATTTTGGAATCCAAGCTTGAGGAATTCGCGATTATAGACAAATGTCCAGAATCGTCCATCGACCCGAAAATCAATGGCAGCAGGTGCTAGACCACACCTTTTTTNTGAGGTGCTACATTTCGTCCCACACGAAAAAAAACCTCTCTTGGCATAATCCTAACTATTCGAGCAAATATTGGTCATGTTAACAGTACACCTTGAATTAGTAGATAAGTTCAATATACATCGCATGTAATAACTTTTCCTGCTTTTGGATCCCACGAGATGTATAAACTGTAGGAGGAAATATATATGAAGTATCTTCCATGTTTCAGCTTTACATGATACAGACAAAGTGACAGAAACATGTTCAGTGTCCTGTGCAAAGGATGTTTTGAAGGAGGAAGCTAGATATTTAAGAAGAAGAAAAATTATCCATGCAGTTCTTACAATTTTTTTTCATGCCTTGCAAATGAGCTAATCTATTCCAGAAAAAAAACATACAAGTTGTGGTTCAAACATGAAAAATTTTCTTTTCCTGAAACAGCTATATCTTTTTTTTTTTCTTTTTCCTTTTTCCTTTTTATTTTTTACAAAATAACTGTATACACCCCCACACGCGCACCCCGCTATGTTGCTTTTGTTTTGTTAAACGACTTTTCGACCTCACTTTTCTCATTCATACGCCATTTCTGGAGTTCGCTCTCCACAATCCTCTTAGCTGCCTCAGCCATATCTGCTCTCTTCACAGCCTCCTTAATTCCCGACTCTATAGCCTCGTTTTCCCTTACCACCATCTCCAGTTTCTCCACAACTATCATCTCGTTCGCGTTTATACTCTCCACCTGTGCCATGGCCGTCGACACTTTCACATCCGCCTCGTTCTTAAAAGCCACGATTTTTCTATTCATCGACTCGAATTCCTCAACAGACAATCTGATAATTTTTGAGCCCCCACTTTCCTTCCCTTCATAATTACAGATTTTATCATCGGCATCCTTTTTCGCAGCCTCGGCTTCCTCCAGAGCAGCCCGCAGCTTCTCCTCAGACTCTTTGATTGCAAGACGAAATGCCTCGGATTCCAGATTTAGTATATCAGCCTTTTTGTTAATTCCTTGGGCCTCAAGCCTGGCTTTTTCAGCTTCCACCGAAAGTTTATCGATGGAAGACTGCATTATCGAGGCGCATCCCGACATGGCTTCCTCGAGCTCGACTTTCCTCTTTTCTAACTGAGTCTGCATCTGTTCTGCGCTCGACTCTTCCTTGTTCACCTTTGTTTCCAATTCCAAGCACTCGTTTTTCACTTCCTCCAGCTGCTTCCTCATGGAATCAATTTTGGCCTGAAGTAATCTTTCTTCCCGAACAGCTTCGTCCAAGGCCTTCTTCGACTTATCGAGCTCCGAGAAAGTAGTCTTGAGAGTGTACAGATCAGTCCCCTGAATATCTTTCAGCTGGGCCTGAAGGACCTTCACAGCCTCCATAGTCTGCTGGAGCTTCTGTTGAAGGGTTTCTTCGGGCTCATAAGCCTCCCTCAATCGCCGGGCCTCACTCTGGGCCCGATCCACTTCTGACCGCCGGGCCTGCAGCAGATTCTCCTTCTCAACCAAAGCCCGCAAGTGCTCTTCCTCAGCTCGTTGGACTTCGAGCTCGAGCTCTGCAAGGGCCCGGCAGAGGGCCCCAACCTCCACTTCAAGATGGGCCTGGACCTGCTGGTGGGCCTGGGCCTGGGCCTGGGCATCCTCTGCCTCCTGAAAGACAGAGAGCTTGTGTTCGAGGGCTGAGTCTAAGTCCTGGCGGAGGCTGGCGAGCTCCTGCTTGCAATCAGTGAGCTGGCCGGTGCATGCCTTGTAGGCTTCACGCTCGTTTTCGAGGTCGATTTTCCAAGCATCACTTCCGAGCTGAGCGCGGAGAGTGCGCAGCTCCTCGAGCTCTTGGGCCCGGGCCTTGGCGGCCTCGGTGGCCCGAATGGAGGCCTGTTTGGACTCACTCAGGGCCTCCAGCTTGTTGGTGAGCTGGTGGAGGGTTCGGTGGGCCCGCTGGAGGTCCTTGAGGGCCTGGGATTTTGTGGCCTCGGTGTTCTTGAGCTGCTCTTTGTAGTAGTCGAGCTCGCGTAGAAGCATGTGGTGTTGCGTTTCCTTCTCCAGCACTCGCTACACGTAAAAAAATTGATAGTGTCGTGATACACGAAGATTATCCGATTTGAAAACTGAATTTTTTTGACATTGTTGGTATATTATATATATATATATATACCTCGTCGGAATTAGAACGCTTGGAGACGGGCCGAGTTTTGGGGGAGCCGACTTCGCCGAATAAAGTGACGGCGGCCTTCACGGACTGGAATGGGGCCTTTGTGTCAATCTCCCCGACGAGGTCAGCCCGTGGGGATGCGGGCCCGTTTTCTCGGGCTTTTGCCGGGAGACTAAGCATCGTGTATATATTATTATTGCTTGCAATCTGTGAGACCATTCCAAACAGCCCGTAGTTAGAAATAAGACATCTCTTTTTTTATTTTTTCGTTTTACCAATGAATAGTTTTGGAGATTTATCGATTCTTTATATATTATTTCATCTCTTACGTTCAGTTTTTCTTTTTTCTTCAATTTTTCCTTTCCCCGCCTTTCAATGAGATGATGTGTCCTGGAGAAACACGAGTAGGAAAAAAGAAAAAGTAAAATAAAACGGTGTTTATGATAAATTGCATCTGGGAAAGCACCAAAGGTTCTTTTGGTTATGGGTTTTCACGAAATCAATGCATAAAATAAAAATGGCGGTTCCCAGAAAACCAAAACCTGAAAAAATAAAAAAATATATATATAAAAAATCATACAAGAAATTGGATTTAGAGAATTAATGATTCTAAGAAAAAAAAGTTATCCAACGTACCTCCAAAAAACGTAGTTCGTTCAAGAATATGCAAGGAAGAACACGTTCAAATGAAAAATGTATCTTAAATAATGATATTTTCTCTTTCTTTCTTTTTAACCCTCTGCTGTTGTATTTGGAGGAGCAGAGGACTCAAAAAGGGAAGAGGAAAATGTATTTTAAAGATGAGAATGCTACGTTGGAATAATTAAACGCTATATATGTTCCTCTAGGCTTTGACTGTCTTTCTAAAACGTAGTCCATTTGTCATTGTGCGGGAACCCGGCTAATGCGCCCGATTTTTAGTTGCAATTTCTCCTTATTTCTTTTTCCTTTTTATTCTCTTATTAGTAGCTGTATTTTAACATGTAGTAACAATTTAACATTGTTTTCACACAAACTTACCATGCAATTCATATTTAATGCATCAGTCTAATCTAATATGCTAATCTACCAAACCATGATATGATTAAAAAGAAGATGTGCAGTTCTGTCATTGCAAATGCTAATGCACCGAACCATGATTTAAATGACCACAAAAGTTAATTAAACCGGTGATGAGTCATGACCAACTAATGAACCACAACTTTAATGGATTGAATAGCATGAGAAGAAAAAATGCATCACCACAATCCAGAAATTTGAGTTGATGCCAAAGAGCGAAAGCAGATATTACATCTGCAGATATTACCGGACAACTCTATGTTCTTATAAGAATTATTCAACCATTTTTTTACCAACAGCATTAGATATGAATCTTACAATTACAATGCAACATGTAAACAACATTAGGCAACTGAACATCCAAACGGTGAAACAGGGCCAAAATTTCAGAACCCAACATCTGACTACAAATCCTTCACAATGAGGTTAAATACGAAAACAGATTCACATGCAAATGCTATTCCCATTGGCACACCTTCATTTGTATGGTCACGCGCCTCCAAACCAAAAGTATCATTTTCAGGAAACTACGTACACTTTTGTAACAAAGGTACTCTCAAAGAGCTAACAACTTCACCAAGCTCAAATTTTAGCAAGATCCCCAATTTTTGTCTAGATCTGTACATGTGAAGCGATCATCACACCAACTCATCTGATCAAAATCAACTCAAAATGCGTCTGAAAGTGAGATTAATCCGTACTGACTGTGCTTTCGCGCGTTTAGGGACTGAGTGGAGCCAATCCCTTTGGGTGTAGCCCCTCATTACCAGCAGGGAACCATGCTTCAACAAGAACGCATGTTGATCACCATTGTTCACATTCTTTGATCGTTTTCTGGGAGGTTCGCCCTCGTTTCCTGTGGCTGACTTCTTAACTGTTGAGCATCAATGAAAAAGATAAAAATAAAATCAGTGATACCTCTGGCGTAAGCAAAACTTTTTATCTCGTGAGTGAGTGGCAAATTTTTTTAACTACCCTTCGGTACAATTTGGGGAAGTGAAGCTCATTACCCATTTTAGTAGTTGTCTCCACTCTATCTAAAATGTACCATTGAGGAATAATTTATGATGAAAAAAAAAAATGCTTAGTCCAAAAATCACTCCCTACTTCCTAAATAAGAGCATGTCTAATGGAAAATTTATGGTATACTTGGGTGCCCGAATTTCAGTTCAACAGAAATTTTGTATTAATTCGAAGGGAAGCTGGGCATAAGCAAGCGATGCTTGATCAACTTAATTGAGACTCTTAAGAAACAGTTTGTGCCATTACAGCATTACAAAGTACTCCAAGGACGTAATATTTATCTTACAAACTGAACAACTAAAACAGAATGAATATCTGTAATGTTCTAGACATTCAACAACTTTTACATAACAGCGAAATCAAAAGATTGCGGTTGGCTGCTAAGTACTTGTACAAACAGGGAGACCACTTGTATCATCAAAGCAATTTGAAGTTTTAGTGTGAAAAGTACCACGTAATTCACACACACACTCCCGAATGGATGCTGCTCCTTTTTTATACCATAAAACATTCGTATCTCGTATTGTTTTCTTCCTCCTTTTATGTGAAAACCAAATGCGTACAGTAGAAAACAAGAAAAACAAATAAACCACATATTCACAAATAAAAACAAAATATTCACCACGCATGATGATCTCAAGTCTTCGAAAAACACACATAGCAGTATACAGAAAAAGGTCCTCTTGGATACCTTTACATGGCTTTTTCTTCAAGAGAAAATCACGTTCACATCCAAATGAAACAGAAGCAATTTCAGGAGTGGATCCGTAAAGCTTCTCATCGTCAGCATGCCAACCCACGTAATCATCACCTCCATTATACCTATTTAAGAGCAAGCTATTGAAACTGCTCCCAGGAAGAACCCTGTGGACCTAGAGTTATACCACAGAAGCATTATTGATGAGCTCATCACAAATATATTCGAAATATAGAATAAGAAATGATGTCCCAGAAAGCAATCTCACCAAATCAAGAATGTCCTTCAAGGGTGGAAATTCATCCCAGGAATAAGCATGAGGTTGAAACCCACTGTAACCCAGTTGAGTCAATCCTTCATTCGCAACATAGCACATATCCCTGGGCTGCTCCAGACAAAATTGAATTATAATTTTTTTTTTTTCATTATTCAATAGTTCTCAACATAAATAATCATGATACAATTGGAAAGATCCCACAAGACATAGTTAAAGTTCTACGTAGAGTTAAGGTAATCAGAATGAATAATGAACAGATACGTGGGGAACTTATCAATCAGTAAAGCATGATCAGAAATCAGGCCAGATAAACCTTTTCTCCAGTACACGCCCACAGGTACAAGCTACTTCGGAATAGAGTTTGATAACTACTGTTTGCAATCGGCACAAATTGAAAACAAAATACAAGTATACGACAAAGACGCACAAAAATCTTCAATAGAAAGGAGACGAAGTAATTGCGGGGAGGAATCGTACCTGAACATGCGACCGGGCAAAGACACGGATAGTGGGTCGTGTCCAAGGTATGTTTTTATCCAGGTAATCAAAATACCTCCATGAATCTTGATACGAAATGAATCGCGGCATGTGCAGAACCTCACTACCGTTACCTAAATCCAGCACCGCCATTTTCTTAGGCTTCTCGGCTGTTACATTTTCCGGGTCCGGATCAGCACCCGGTTCCGAATGACTAAACCGGTCGTGTTCTGCTCTCAGCTTCAAAATGGTGCCCGACATCGAGTGAAGAAAAGGGCCGGGAAGGTATAGAGTCGGTAGAAGGAGATGGCATGGAATAAGTAATAGTAATAGTATCAGCACCATACTTTTTAAACCCAGCCTTGGAATCGAACCGGGCATGCCTTTGGGTTATCGAGTAACTGGTTCAACAGTTAAATTGTCGGGTTGTCGGATCAATTGTTGAATCGTATAATTAATTTTAAAATTATTTAATTATATATAAATTATTTTTATAATATAAATGTACATAAAAATAACAGAAATAAATATTTTGTACATCAAAGTGTTAATCGTTGTACCCGAAGTAAGCCGACCTGGATTAAGTCTACTAAGAAGCGATGACGTGGACAACAAGCGATATCCCAAAGCCCAGAGTACGACGCCAAAGGAAGGGCATAAGTATACATTGGCTTGAACAAATACGTCGTCCTCTTTACCATCTTACCTCCCTGCCGATCTCACTCTTGGCCTCAAACGCATCAGACCAACGTTACCATAATGCAGAAGAATTACCTCCTTACATCGGTTAAAAGCGAATGGAGCTTCCTTCATACAGATCTCTGCAAAAAATGGTCTGAACATGATTGTCGTCCAGAACCGATTCACATTGCCTTAAAAAGAGTCACTTGAACAAGTTGTGGAGACAAGCGTCGTTCTGAATGTAACTGACCTCGGGGATCTGTCACGTGTCCCGAAAATAATATATTTTAAAGACATCCCTCTTCTATAAATAGCAAGGTCTCGATAGGGGCAAAGGAGCATCAAATATCATCTAAAATCACAGATACTAGGCTTATTAGAAATTGTCGCTAGTTTTCTAGCTCAAATGGCCTTCAAGGCTCTTGTGATAAAGAGGTCCGGGAGCGGCCAAATCTCTTAAGTATCTCCTGGTGTAAGCGCATCGACGCGACACCTACTTCGTCGACTGACTTGTTCTTATTTTCCTTTTCATCTTTATTTCCATTTTCAACCATCTTACAACACAATCTCATCCACCAATTAGCATACTACTGCTTCGTAGTCTTGTTGACAAAAAACTCGTAAATAAAATGGCGCTAGAGGAAGGGCTTGTTGTCGTTCGGTCGAACCATAGCCGAACCTCCGAATGACCCCTTCTATTTGTTACTCTATTAAAATGGAAGGACGGGTCAGTCGACCCTTCAAATGATCATTTTTCACCTCGTTACTCTTTCCAAATGGAAGAGCGGCTCCACCGACCCTCCAAATGGTCCATTTCCTTCCCATTACCCTATCCTGACAGGTACCTACAAATACACCTCTCAAAAAGTCGTCACTTTACACTTTCAAATCTTGGTGTAATACCCGACATAAATCTCAAAACCATCTTGCAATCTCTACATTTGTTCGCCTTCAAAAAGAGTATGAATCGATTAGTTTATCTTCAACAAGAACGTTCAGATGGTGGAGTGTTCGGGCCTAAAATAATAACGACTACAGAGTAGTCGGGTAATCTAAGAAGGGCTCTGAGAAGGTTATTCCTTTGTGACTTCTTCACAGTCTTACCCTTATACTGTAAGACATTTGACCCAGTAACACTTGTATGGGCGGTCACAATGTTGTTCTTGGTCATGACCGTCAAGAGATCAGACAACCGACCTGGGCGAGGACGAGAGCTGGGGGCCAGACAGGGAGAATTTCGACGAGTCACCTAAATCTCTTGAGATCAACCATCAAGGTCAACCAAAACTCAAAGGCATCCCCACCATCACACCTCATGTCACCGTCAAGAGCCTCGCTCGATACATCTTAAAATCGGCGGCAACGTAACGTTACCTTACATAAAACAACACAAGAAAGGCAGATCGGCACCCGAGAGATCTGACCGATCCAATCCTAGCCATACTTTTTAAGTATGTCTAAAAGCTTTTCAAAGTTAAATAATTGGTTAATGAACCTTATAATCTATACATGT